TGGGGGGTAGGGTGGGCCAGGGCTGCATCTAGTTCAGGCGTGGTGGATGGCAGCAGCACTGGGAGGTGGGGCTGCAGGGAACTGGTTATGAAGTTTGAGGCCAGAGCAGCACTGGGATGTGGGGCTACAGGGAATCTTTGGGTGGCTGTTGCCCACCCCAGGCACAGCCCTGGCCCAGTTCCACCCTGGAAAGAGGCTAGTGCAGCCCTTAGTCCATAGCCCCCCTTCACCCTGTGCTCAAATCCAGGGGTACATGCCCCCCATGCCTCCCTTGGGGGTGGGCACATTGGTGGGGAGCCCTCTCTCCTCCTTACTACCTCACCCCCTGGACAAGCTGCCCATGGGGGTCGCATTCACATCCCTGGCTGAGCAGTGTTGGCCCCTGCCCCACTCCCTCCATCACTGGGGGGGGGGGAAGGGGGCTCTATCTGCCTGCCCCTTCCCTTGCCCATGCCCTCCCTCCACCCCCATAGACGTACCAGCCAGATGCTGCTCTCCAAGCTGCCTGGCTTCATTCCTGTAAATTGGCTATTGGATTGGTATTGGCCCATATGGCTGGTTAATAATGACTAGCTCCCATTGGTATTGCCCAAGAAAATCTATATCAGTGTACCCCTAGTTTTTCATCAGTTGGTCTTTTTGCCCTGCTCGCTCTGGGGCATCTGATTCAGCTCAACTTGATCTGCTTCTGTCTGTAAACTTTTTCCTTCTAAGCCTGTCTCTCTCAGTCCCAATGATCCTCTTCCTTCCCATTTCCTTGTATTTCATACAAGTTCCGATCCCACGGTCTGTATTGTAATGAGAGTGCTTTGTAAGCAGCCAGAAAGCAACTTTACTAACATTTACCACTTGATGGATCCTCTTCTCAGCACAATTACGTGCTTTGTTCTGGTTGTGTTTTGTGTGCACATGTGCACATGTGAAGAAGTGTAGGCAGACAGACGCATACATTGCATGTGTCCTTACATACATATGATTTCATATATAGTGTGTGTGTGTGTATAGACGGGTTTCATTACACATGCAGGGAAAGGCGGAATGGGATCTAATGGGTGATCCACAGAATTGCACCTTTTGCCCTAACAAACATGCATGGCAGGAAGCATGGTTGTAGGATTGTGCATTATATCCCATTGTACCTTACTGCCAGTAAGAGCCAGTCAGAAGCAAGCTTCTGTGGCTGGGAGCCCCACCTCAGTTGAGAGGCTCCCAGTGGCTGGGGCACCTCCGCTTCCCTCATTGGGAGATATGGCTGCCATGATCTCCCAGCTTCAAGGTTACATGAAAGCCCCAGGGCAAGATTGCAGGCTTTCATGTGTCCCGGGGCCTAAGACGTTGCAACTGCTGCGATCTCTCGGCCCTAGGGACTCCATGTGCCCCTGGGGCTGGGAGACTGCAATCGGGCCCTGTGGCTGCTGGGACACTGTTAGGTTCTGGCACTGGGTGGCATGCTGCTGAGATTCAGCATCCGCAGCTGCAGGGTGCTGCTTGGCACCCCACTGCTGTCCAGAATCTGCAGTTGTTGGGGCTGCAACTCCCCTTAGTTGTTAGACTTCCAGTCCCAGTTGGACATGGTGCACCCCTTGCGTTCAAGCCCTGTCAGGTGATGGGGCTTCCAGTCATAGGGGAGACCCTGGTACACATGCAAAATAAAGCTTGATAGCAACTGGTTATGAAGTTTGAGGCCAGAGCAGAAGTGCTGATGGCACGGCCTGTCAGATTCAACAAATCTGCGAGTTCTGCTAAATGCTTGGTCATGAGGACCTGAAAAAGGAAAGGAAGGAGCTTCTTACAGTGTGATAAGTACTTTGCACTTCTAGCTTGTCTGAAGGTATTTGCACCATTAACCAGTTATGTGTGTAATAATTGTAATGTGTAGAAGGAGGCTCTATTTGTAACAAGGCATTATGGAAGTATATAAAATGCCTTGCCATGTACATTCATTAGCAAGGGCAAGGTTTAAGAAGGGTGCCTTCCACTTGGCATGGCTCACGAGATGTGTGCATTTCCTTACTACTTGCAGGAGTTTAAAAAGGTTATTTTCTGCACAAACAAGCTTTATCCAGGGGGTGTAAAATTCATCCAGCCATATGGGCTGGATCAGCATTCCTGTGCTGGTCTGTGGTGCCAGGTCCTGCTCAAGTGAAGCATGTGCCAGTCCCCTGGGGCAGCATGGGGCAGCCACTGTCTGTGGCAAATGAGCTAGGCCCAGCACTGCAGGTAGCATAGGGGTCCAGCAAGGCACTGCATGGAGCATACACCCCTCGTGCTGCATGAGCGGGACTGGCTGATCATGGGGCTCTCTGTGCGCATGGCCCTGGAGCTTGCATGGGATGCATCCTTCCAATGGCACATGGGCTGGGTGCAGTGCTGACAGGGTCTTGGGCACAGGTTGTGTGTGGCACCCTGTGCTGCCTGCACTGCCGCATGTTATGCAGGGGCCAGGGCTGGCCCAGCAACCCACAAGCTGGATTGTGCACCTCAATGGGTCTGAATCTTACCCATGGGCCAAACGTTTGACACTCTAAACTTTTGACACGCTTTCTCTATCCTCTGTTGTAGAAGTCTGGAGTGGGTTGACCACAGTCACAAAATATAATAGTCCCTGTAAAAGAATACTAGCTGAATGAATTATTAAATTCAAAGGCTGGTAGCAAGTGTATAAGTGGAAATTCTCCAGTACTACAAACAATACTGCTTATTAAATGACTACATCCACACAGTAAAATAATTATCCGAATGGATCTTATCCTTACATTAGCCCCTATGCTTAGTGCTAACTGTTGTTATTGATGTTGGTAGGCTCTCTGTTTTTGGCTCTAGCTTAGAAGCTGCCATGACTGTGGAGGGAGTTGCATTCTCTTTCTGTTTTACTTCTTACAGGAGAGGACAAGAAGTACCGGGCTGGTCTGCAGGGGAGATACCAATGATCTCTATCAGCTTCTCTTCTCACATATTAGAACAATGGAATGTCATGGAGTACCTGGGGACATACCTTAATCACGGGGTCACCAAGGTGGTGATGGCTTCAATATTAACCTTTTATTTACTTCCTTGGATGCTGCTTATCTTTGGCTTCCTCAGTTCTCTTCTCATTGTAATTTATTACAGGAATTCTAAGCTAAAAACAAATTGTTCTGATGATTTCTGGGACAATGCAAGGCAAACTTGGGCATACCTTTATGATTTGTATGCAAGAATGTGGCATGGTAAGTTAGACTTCCTTTTTTGTAGTTCTAAATCTGTTTTTAATTAGGTGAATTACCCCAAAATTTAAATGTTAGGCTTCTTCAACCCCAGGATGACTAACCCAAGACAATTTTCTTTACTGACAATCTGCAAACCTTTTAATGACAACTAACCTTTTTTACTGACACATGCTTTATGTTATATAAATATAATCCTTCTGCCAGACCCTGGATGAGGGCCTGGTTCCAATCGTAGTGTGTTTAAAAAAAACAAAACAAAACAAAAAAAACCCACACAAACCAAAAAAAAGATTGTTGGTGAAAATTTTCAAACTTATCAGTAACTTTTTTTTCTTGGTTTGGCAACCTTACTTGACTGCAGCAGTGGTTTTACACCATGTTACCCCCATTCAGGGGTCCCCTGTTCACCCTCACAACCATACTGCCTCCCACCAGTCCCACTCTCCCTGTCCTCCTTTGGGGTCTGTCATGCCAGGACCTCTATCTCCATACCTGGCACCCATCAGTGTTACAGGCAGATGGGAGGTAGCATCGGGAGCATTAGCTGTAGCACATGGTTGGGGCTTAGGAAAGGAGCTTTGGAGAACCTTGTGAGCCACAAAGTCCTTAGAGCTCCATTTGAGGTGCTGCTCTCCTGCTCAGACACGAAGTGGCCCTACTGTGTTGTCCATACATTACCATGGGCTCCACCTTCTTTTCCCCAACAGGACTTCAGCCAGCTCCCATTGCTTCATGTTTTTACTGATTCTGTAGGCAGACATTTATAGCTTGGTTATTTATAGACAGATGGCAAGCCTGGTGAACCTATTCAGAAACCAGTACTAGTTTTTGCTAGATGCCGCATAGTAAGCAAGAATCTCTTCCCCAAAGAGTCTATTATTTAAGTGTCAAAAGTGGAATATATTGGGAAATGCATGAGCTGTAAGCACACAGATGGTAAACAGAATTAATATTCTTTATTTGTGGTTTGTTTTTCCTTGAAAGAAAAATGGTTACTTATATTCGTATTCTAACAACAACACTGGCAATTCACTGTATGCTAAAATGGATCCAATTTTAAAGAATCATGTTTGGGGGGGATTTTTGTTTGTTGCCAGAACTTATTTCTAGAAATGTCAATGTAACATTAATTTTAAGATTCTAGAATGTATGTAAGAGCTGTTTGGAAACGAAAAGTACAGCTCATTTTAACTGGACATTGTGCCAGTTTTTAAATATTTACCTTATTGGTGAACATTAATTTCTTAGGAAATGGAACCCCTTCTCCTGCTACTCCCTCTCTTCCCCCTGTTTAAACAAATATAGTTGAGTTACAGTGACTGAAAAGAAATGGCAGCAAGTCTTTCTTTCAGTTTATTCTGGTTTTGGGGGTCTTGGATGATGTCGGAGATGTTGCCCTGCAAGGAAGAGTGCCCTGTGTTCCTGTTTCCTTGTTCCTGATGGGGCAGAAATTTCCCTGCTGTTCTCTGTTCTGTTTATCCAATGAATACTAAATACCCAGTGCAGTGTCTCAGTTTCCAGAGTAGAATGAAATACCACTCTTCCTTCCAGCCCCTTTTGTGGTGCTGTTCATTTTCTGTCTAATTTGGCTTTAGTTCTGTTTTAAGAACAGGATAAGAGTTTCCTTTACATTTCAACTGATGCTGCTATCATCCAGGGTCTAACTTTTGTGGGTTGCTTTCCTTTAATTTCAGTCTAATGTTTTAATCTTGCACAGAAATCTTCATAAGTCCACCTTCATATTTGGCATAAGTGGAACTGAAATCCCCAATGTTATCCTGGATATAATCCAGTCTTCTCCATTTTAGTCCCCAAACCTGTTTTTTCATTCAATGTCAACTTTGCAGCGAGGCCTGGGAGAAGGGACTGGGAAACATGATTCTGTTCTTCAAGATAGGCCTTTTCAAGATGACATTCAGCTGTGGGGTAGAGAAAGGCACTTGTCTTTGCTTGGGATTGTCAGCCATGAGGCATATCCCAGAGTTGCCTAGATGAGCTAGGCTAACTCTCACTTCTGAAAAAGTACAGATGTCAGTACCCTACTGTGCCCACTGCTCATCCAGGAAGTACTCTCCTAGTTCCTAGATGAGCAATCTTTATTCCTCACTCTAGCCGACTTGAAGGTGGCTCTTTCTAGATTGGAACCAATATGAAGAAAATTGGCGGTGTCGGAAATTATCCCAATGCAGCTGATAATTTGGCTGAAAGATGCCCGTGCATGAGCAACCCCTCCTCCCCATGGTGAGGGAGGGGGAAGGGGCAGGGGCAGGCACTGCCGAGCCAGGGTGTGATGGGGTGTGGCACATGATGGAGCTGTGGTTTGGGGGGTGGCTCCCGCTGCTGCTTGCACCCTGGGAGGGCATGGAGAGGCAGAGTGCCCCCCCCCGGATCTGCATGGGGTGGGGCAAGTGGGCTGAAGCGGTGGGCTAGAGTCGGGGCTGTGCGGGGCTCTTCTCATCGGGGACTGGGCTCAGGGTGGGGGCTAGAGAGGGTTGCAGCCACCCCAGATTTCATTGTAGCTTCCTCCCAGTGCCGCGCTGAATGCAGCCCCAGGTCTTCCTGCCTCATCCCCTGCCTGTCCCCATGTGCCAGGAAGAGCTGGGGCTGCGATGGGCGTGCGGCGACTATGGTGCTGGGAGGGAACTAGGGTGAAATTTGTGGGGGCTGCAGGCCACCCTTGCCCCTGGTGAGAGGAGCACGGCGCAGCCCCAGCTCCAGCCCACAGCTGGAGCTCACCTGTCCTGCCCCATGCTGATCCGGGGGAAATGCCCCTTGCCCTCCCAGGGTGCAAGCAGCAGTGGGAACCACCCCCAAACTGCAGTTCCATTCCGTGCCCTGCAGTACCCCGACTGGGCAGTGCCTGCTGCTGCCCCTGCCCTCTCCCAGACCACGGGGGAGGGGGAGGGGTTGATCTTCCCTCCCCTTCCACCACAATGGACTTACCAGCTGGAGGCAGCTCTCCACTCTGTATTGGAAATCGGATTGGTACTGGCCGATATGCCTCCTTAGAATTTGGATATCATTATCGGCCCCCAAAATGTCTATTGGTGCACCCCTAGTTCTTTCACATCCCAGGTGACTGTTCTGACCCTGGGTTCTTGGTATTCTGGGTGAGGAAGGGTTTTTTTTGAACAAAAAAGTCCCTCTTGAAATCAACAAATCTCTTTTTGTCTAAACTATTTTAACTTTCTCTGAAAACATTACATATCATGTTTTGTCACAAAACATTCGCCTTCCCCCCACTCCACTGCCACCCCAATTGGAGGGTGTGTTTTAGGTAGGGAAGCTGTTTTCCTTCTTTGAAAAGTAGCACTCTTGAAGGCAGGTGCATGGCATACAAACAGGAGCCATCTTCACACTGTGTCTGCACAGCAAACTGAAGGGGCAGAATCTTGTATTAACCTGCTCGCACCCGTAACTATTGGGTGAGCATTGTAGCTTGTGCCTGAAATAGTAAGTGAGCTATTCATAGAATCTTGTTGAGAATTTTGATGTAGAAACAACACTTGTATGAGAACTGTGTTTAGTAAAGAACTAGCAATCTTGTTGCTGTGCTTTGCAAGGGTCCAGGCCTTACCTCACATGACATAGAGTAAGGCCTCTTGGAAACAGTCTTCAGGAAGTGTGGCATCTGTACAGTCTGCCACACCAGGGAGTTTCTGATGCTACACTTCCTTCACATTCTGTGCGATAGAACAAGTCCTCCAAGAAACAGTTAGCCATGATGATGCAAAATCTTTCTACATTTTTGCCTTCTAGCCACCCCCCCGCGACCCTTTTTTTGTTTGGGGGTGTGTTGTATGCAAGAGAATGTGGTACTTATGCATACACTTGTGCTCTTCAATTCTTAAGTCATGCTGAAGTGTCTAAATTCCTTGGGTTGTGCTGTGCTCAGTAGAAACATCTCTAAATGCCTTTTATGAATCTGGGCCCAAATTCTTACTACGGTACCAAGCATTGGAAGTTCTTGACGTACCTGCTCTGTACTGCTTGCTGCTGAAGTTCATGCTTCTGTCTAGCAAAAACCTAATATTCAAATTTGAAGTAACCTAAAATTAACGTTAACAATGTTATACTTTGTACTTCAAATAGGTTATGAACTTCATGGTTTGGAAAACATACCAGAAGGACCAGGTGTTGTTATTTTTTACCATGGCGCTATTCCTGTAGATTACGTCTTCTTTGTAGCTAGGTACTTTATCTTGACACACCGGATGTGCGTCTCCGTAGTTGATCATGTGCTCCATAAACTACCAGGTAAAATTCTTTTATTGGAAACAGTTAAATGCTTTCACATATATGAAACTGTGTTGTGTTGTGTTTTAATGCACTTCATATCAATAATACTTGTGAGACACATGATTAGCATAGTCAGCTAGGACCATACTGCACGCTGACAGTGAATTTAGATGTTGGGGGAATGCAACACACCCATCTCAAATTTGCATACAGTTTACACACAATTCTTTGTTCTTTCCCGTTTTTAACTTTTAAAATTTCCGGGGCAGGGTCATTATTACTGACCTTGTAATGGGGAATTTCTCTAAACTCTTTATGCAATAGAAAGGTGGCTTTGCTCCCTGAGGAGCTTGTCAGCCAGTCCTCCCAAATAACACAGTCTTCAAGTACCACCAAGCTGACATAAACAAAAACAAGCCCTTCTGCCTCATCCCAAGCACTTGAGGAGCCCTTTGGCTCTGGCTCCCAACACAGCAGCCTGGCTCCTTCTGGCAGCAAGCAGTATAGCTCACTGCATGCTACCTACTTTGCAAATGCTAGGAGTTTGGTTTTGTTTTTTTTAATCTAGCAGGATACTCCCTGCATATCCTAGCTTGCTCTGGCTCTGGCTCTGGCTCCCAACACAGCAGCCAGACTCCTCCTTGCTGCAAGTATTGAGCTCACTATGTGCTTCCTACTTCTATGCATATTCTAGGAGGTCTTTAAATCTAGCAGGATGCTTCCTGCCTATCCACCTGCCCAGCATGTGGGCTTTCAGAATAGGGATTTCCCTTGCATTTCCTGACACATTTTGTTTTGGAAGCTTTAAATAATAAATGTAATTTAGATTAATCTTATTTAAAAAAAAAAAAAAAGGGTGAAGGAACGAAAGAGGAATACATGCATGTTATCATCAGGGATCCTGGTTTTCTCTGATTTTAAAACAAAAAATCCAAAATATTCTGATTTTTTTGTTTTTGTTTTTGTTTTGTTTTAAACCCAAATCGACACTTTTCTGTGATGCTTTTTGTTTAAAAAAAATGTTTTAATCATGGAAAAATGTGGATTTGGGTGTCTCTTTCTTTTTTAGCAAATTTTTAATTAAATCAGAGAAAATCAGGATCCCTGGTTATCAGTTGTACTAAGGCAACCTATACATGGTAGTACAACAAGTACAAGTAATTATGGAAAAATATTGACAAGTGTATCCTGTATTTGGTTTCTTGAAGTGCAAGTATTAGACAGGTTCTTCTTCAAATTTCTCCAGCTAAAGTATCAGGCTAAGTGCATTGTTCATGCATTACTTTTTACTTTCTCCAGCACATTTGTTGGTCTTATATTCTAAGTATGTAGCCATTTAACTTTAATAATAATGTTTTTATTTTACTGTGTTTTTTCTTTGATATGCAAGCTGTACTTATGACATGTTTTAAGTTCTATTTTAATAATATATTTGCTGTATGCTTTTTGCAGGCTTTAAACTACTTTTAGAATTTCTTAAGGTACTTCATGGTACAAGGGAAGAATGTATGAATGCACTGAAAAATGGTGAACTGGTGGGTATTGCACCAGGTGGTGCTCGAGAAGCCTTCTTTAGTGACAAAACTTACAGACTTGTATGGGATCATCGTAAAGGCTTTGCTCACCTGGCTATAGATGCAAAAGTGGTGAGTAACATACCTGTGAGCATCAATCATTTCAATATAATCAAGATTATTGGCAGACAAATGAATTACCACAAAGGGGGCTTGGCTTCACTGTGAGTGCTGGGGGGCAGGGACCCCACCTGGCAGGGTCCAGATGGGCTGCGCTTTCCCAGTGCACTGAAAGGAGCTCGGGGTCAGCGGGGAGGCGGGGGTGAAACTGGAGTCGCATACCGGGTCCGGGGAACACATGCCCTGGGGACCAGTGCTGATTGGCCGAGTGGAAGCCTGGGGAGTGTAACAGAGAATGCCGAGGTTCAGTATTTGGCATCCAGGGAAAAGAGATGGTGCAGCAGGGCAGGGTAGAGGGGCTCTGCCGCAACAGGGACCCAGCCAGTCAAACCCTCGTGGGATGCCAGGATACAGCGACCAGAAGTGTATGACCAGCTCAGTCTATGAATCAAGATGAGTAACACTAGACTGTAAGTTACTTGTGGGTAGACCCACCGGTCGGAGGGATGAGGACACCTGGAGAGAGTGTCCAGTGAAAGATTATTGAGCCCAGCAGGAGAGAAAGTGTGAACCGGTGCCAGAGGTGGTGTTAGCCTCAGGGAACCCTAGTAGCATAGGCAAAGGACAGATTTGCCTGGAGGAACTGAATAAACAGTTACCAGGTATGAACCAGCTACAGGGAGCTGACCTGGACCTCTGAACCTGGGTTCTGAATCTTTCCCTGAGAAAGTAATACAAACAAAGGGAAGAGAGCCTATTTTCCTTTTGTTTACTATTCAGTACTTCCAGGCCAGGGAGCAATGGTAGGGGCAAGTTAGATCCTGTGGGCACCTGAGTTATAGTTAACTAAGCTGGAGAACATACACCTGGGATCTAGTGAGCTGCCTAATTGAGAATCTAGGAGACCAGCAAGTAGAGATCTTGTCCTCCAGGATCTGTCAGTCCTTGGGAGGAGGAAGACTGCCGCAAGCTAGGCTGTAACATTCAAGAGACCCAGCAGAAAGGAAAGTTGCCAATGCTTTGCAGAATCAGCAACCAAATTTGGCTGGGGGAAGCTGAGACTGAATGACTCGCATGTTTTGTCAGCATAGAAGGATGACTTGTCACCCAAGAGAAAAGGGGCAGGGTATAGGGGTGGTGGAGCCCTGCAGAAAACTGACCCTCATCAGTACGACCATCACTCTAAACGCCATCCATACTTGCAAAGAATAGTAATATTAAGATGTGTCAGGCAAGAGGGAGAGCAGATGGGGCAGAGGTCCCAGTGATCACAATACAATGAAAGAGAAGCGTATGGACCTGCCTACTCACGTACCTAAATCTCCATTTTTCCTTCTTTTCTCAATATTTTCTCTGTCCCTGAGGTCTGAAATCCTTCCTGCCTTTTGGATTTCATGCACATCCCAGTTTTCTTGCATTTGCTGTGACCTCATGTACAAGAAGGCCATGTCTAAACCCTGTTGCTGGTGCTTCTTCCCCTACCTTCCAAAACCACAGTGAAGTCTCTAATTCAGGCCATCTTTGTTTGTGTTGTTTGTTTAAACTGTTGATACCCAGTGGCTCTCCAAATACTTTCTTTTCATACTGTCTTTAAATCTTACATACCTCTGCTTTCTCTTCCTCCCTCATCTTCTTTGCATTGGTAGCCTTTTCTATCCTGTTTCAATTTTTACCCAGTTGCCTTTAGAGGCATAGGCAGGAAGGCTTGTTGGTCACTTTCTGGCCAAAAAATCTGAAAGGCACCTGACAGGGAGCCAGGAATGAGGCCCCCATGAAGCAGAAGGACTGTTACTTGTCAACTGTGGATAGAGAGGCTTCTTCTTGGGAAGTCCGAATCAGCAAGAATGGACCTGAGGACTGACTGATTCGGTCTCCTACTTATAGTGTGGGTAAATGATGGAGATTTTGTACATGTTTCCTAACCTAAACAGTGAGTATCCATCACTAAGGTCACACAGGTAGGTGAGGAGGTACAAAAGTGTGCATGGTGGCCAGATCACAGGAAAGTAAAGCCAGAAGGAAACTCATGAGGTCATCCAATACAGCCCCCTGGTCAAGGCAGGATCAGTCTGTCCTAAAGCATCCTAGGCAAGTGTCTGTCTAACCTACTCTTGGAAATATTCCAAGGATGGAGTTGCCACAAGTCTGACACCTTATCCTAAAAGGAAATTAGGTCAGTTGGCATGACTAGACTTTTGCTGAATCTATGCTGTTTTTTCCTGATCACCTTGTTCTCCTCCAGGTGCTTTACAACAGATTCTTACAGCTGCGCAGGGGAGACTAGTACCATATGAGGGATTGTCCCCTTCATGCTTGTCAGGTCTGTCTCGGGGAGAGTAGATGGACATATTCTGGGTTGCAAACCTCTTGTGTGAAATATAGCATGCAGTGCCACATGCCATGTATCTGAGATGGGGCCGACCAATTATTACAGTTCTAGTGGGGCATCTGTTGGCCTCAGTGGCCCCATGGAATTTGTGGGTCTGTACTAGAATGAACTTTCAAAGATGGATGAGCAGGGACTGGGACATCTCCCCCACCGGGAGTACGGAAGGACTCAGGAGAGGCACCGCCAGGCCTAAGGTTAGGGATGACTTAGTTAGGGAACTTCTGGAGGGGCTAGATGTGTTCAAATCAGCAGACCTGGATGCTCTTCATCTAAGGGTGCTGAGGGAATTGGCAGGGGTCATTGCAGGGCCCCTGGCACAACTATACGAGCACTCATGGAGCTCTGGTCAGCTGCTGGATGACTGGATAAAGGCCAATGTGGTCCCCATTTACAAGAAAGGGAGAAAGGAGGACCCAGGTAATTATAGGCCCATCAGTCCTACCTTGGTTCTGGGGAAGATCTTGGAGATAATTATCAAGGAGCATGTCTGCGAGGGACCAGCAGGGGAGATCATGCTCAGGGGGAACCAACATGGGTTCATTAAGGGAAGATCCTGTCAAACTAACCTTATTTCCTTTTAGGATCAGGTCACAAAGTCCTTGGACAAAGGCATGGGGGTGGATGTAGTCTTCCTGGACTTTAAGAAGGCCTTTGACACTGTCTCTCACCCTATTCTCATAAAAAAAAAAAAACAACTAGGTGACTGTGGCATTGTGTGCAACTGTCCAGCCAATTAGCCACCCATCTGACTGTAGGCATCGGAGTGGTGGTGACCAGGTTGTTTTTGACCTGGAGGGATGTGGGCAGTGGGGCTCCCCAGCGCTCGGTCCTCAGGTCTGTACTGTTCAATATTTTTATCAATGACTTGGACAAGGGGGTGGAAAGCACGTTGTTGAAGTTTGCTGATGACACCAAGATGTGGGTCGAGGTGGGCACGACAGAAGGGAGGGACAGAATCCAGCTAGATCTGGACAGGTTACAGAGATGGGCAGATGAGAATAGGATGGAATTCAACACGGACAAGTGCAGGGTACTGCATCTAGGGAGAAGGAACCAGCAGCATGCCTATAGGCTGGGGAACAACCTTCTCATCAGCACAGAGGTGGAAACGGATCTTGGAGTCATTGTTGACTCCAGGTTGAAAATGAGCCACCAATGCGAGGAAGCTGTCCAGTAAGGCTAACTGCACCTTGTCATGCATCGCAAGCAGGTCCAGGGAGGTGATCCTCCCTCTCTATGCAGCATTTGTTAGGCCGCAGTTGGAGTACTGCATCCAGTTTTGGGCACTGCACTTCAAGAGCGATGTGGCTAGCATTAAGAGGGTCCAGGGGAGGGCCGCTCACATGATCGGGGGGCAGCAGGGCAGGCCATACAAGGAGAGACTAGAGGGCCTGAACCTATTCAGTCTCCACAAGAGAAGGCTGAGTGGAGGATCTGGTGGCTGTCTACAAATTCACCAGGGGGGATCAGCAGGGAATAGGAGATGCCCTGTTCCCCCAGGCACCACATGGGGTAACTAGGAATAATGGCCACAAGTTGATAGCAGGTTCAGGCTAGACATCAGGAGGCGTTACTTTACGGTTAGGGTAGCTAGGACCTGGAACCAACTTCCAAGGGAAGTGGTGCTCGCTCCTACCTTGGAGGTTTTTGAGAGGAAGCTGGATAGACACCTGACAGGTCATATGACCCCAGCATCCGTTCCTGCCGAAGGCAGGGGGTCAGACTTGATGATCTGTTTAGGTCCCTTCCGACCCTAGCTACTATGATAAAGACTGAAAAAGCCTCATTTTGCCTTAGGGCTCTCTACCATCTCATTGCAGGGGGCCCTCCTACCAGCAAGTAGTTTAAGTAGGGATTTGCTGCAATCCCCTGCTTTGAGACATGTGGACAACACCCAGAGCACTTTGAAAACTCTTGAAGCTATGGAGAGACTGAGTGAAAGGTTCTTGCAGTTCTTTTTACCACAACGTGCAGGAACTTATTTTCCTGTCTCAAGCTTTTGCCCAGAAACTTCCTGTAAGTTGAGAGACTGGACTATTTGCCTGTTGTAATCAAATGGAGGCAGCCAGGGTGAAGAGCAGGAACTTGCAGATGAGCACATTAAAGGTTTCCTGGTTTGAGATTGGGTGCCATCCTTCCCTTCCTGAAACTGGAATATATCCACTAAAGCAGGGGTTCCCAAAGTTTTTATGCCCCACCCTGGTAAACCGTGGCCTAGCACTTGCGGCTGACCGTGGCTGGAATTTCCGGTCGGAAACGGGTAAGAATACCCCCACCCAACTTTGCTGTGGATCTTCAGCCGACCTGCCACGGCCCGGGGATTGAGAACCCCTGCACTAGTATTACCTTTTCCTGAGGTCGGAGGGGAAGCTCGTTCCATTACTCCCAGGATTGGTAAGCTGCTCTCAGGCTGGGAGAAGGATCTCTGAAAAAGGGATGGAAAAGGGAAATTTGGGAAATGGGTAACCAAACTGATCGGCTGGAGTAACTATTGACTACAGCCAGAGAAAACATTTTGCACCCATGCAGGGTGTTAACACCGAACAGATGTGGAAGACAAGGGGGGAAAGAGGTAGTTTTTGACTGCACTCCTAGTGCCCTCTGTGAGGGCTGAGGTACAGTGTGGCTTCCGGTAAAAAGCCAGTGTTTATCCTATGAAATTGTAGTTGCATTTCAGTGGATTATTCGAGCAATGAAAAGTGAAGGGCAGAAGTGCTCAGAAAGCTGATGCCAACTCTGAAACCTAGTTATGAGTAGTATAGAAAGAGTACTTAGGTTAGATCTTGAAATCCCTTTGAATCCTTGAGAATTATGTTGCAATGTCCTAGGAGACTTCTTCCAGTCCCACTGCAGGTTTGCTTATGAGTAAAAGAAAGCTAATAGGCACTGTTTGCTGTCAGTTGACTAGTTCGTCCTATTGGCAGATGGAGTAGATGCCAGGGTACACAAATCCAACATTTTTCAGAAAACTTGCATCTTTAGATGCATGTTATTCAATTTATAGGCTAACACATGGATAGCTAGCTGTGTGTATTAATCCATTTTCTTGCATGTCAGTACATTGCCATTTCAGTCCACTTGCTGCATTTCTTGACTGCTGATCAACTTCCAAGTCAGTCAGGAAGTTTTTGCTTTGATTGAAAATAACCACTTAACTCCTTGACATGGTGACTGTCAACCCTGGGGTGTCTTGAGATCCTATCAAGGGTGCTGTGGGGTGTCACTCAATGTTAGTATTGTCCATCATACTTGCACCCCAAACAATAGAAACCCAGAGATTTTAAAAAGGAATCCACATTGTTAAAAACATTCTGACCTCTTGTGGTCTTTCTGAGTTCTTTGCAATAGAAAAATTGGTCTTCTATCTTTATGTAGTAAAAGATATATGCAAATTAAGAGCTGGCACTTTCCAAAGGGTGCCTTGAGCCTAAGGAGGTTGAGAACAAGTGCTTTGACAGAGGTCCTCCAGGATAGTCACCACCACCTCGGCACACTCCTAGGGTGGACCTGACTATCAAACAGTCCCCAAGGAGTTCATCCTGGAAGAGTTTAAAAAAAAAAAAAAAAAAAAAAA